CGTTAACTCACTCTTTTTCCTTCTAGAAAATGAGTTTTTGCTCTTTTTTCATTCTTTCTTTTCTTCTTTTCTTTTGAGACAGTGTTTCTCTGTGTAGTCCTGGCTGTCTTAGAACTCTTGCTGTAGACCAGGTTAGCCTTGAACTCAGAGATCCACCTGCTTTTGCCTCTCAAGTGCATAACTACACCCAATGTCCTTTTTCAACTCTTCTGAATCTTCCATTTGGCATCCTCACTTCAGGGATTGTCCTGGGAATGGTAACGCTCTTCTATCTCTATCACCATGCTTATAAAACTCAACCTTGCTCAGAGCTCTTTCTTCTCCAGACTCTTCATTGGCTGCTTAGAGACTTGCATATTGTATAGATTTGCATCAGGAAATGTTTTGAAGGCACAGCAAAGGCAAAGAATATTATACATCTTTGATTAGCTGTTCTTGGTGATTTGCCACATTCCTTCTTGTTGCACATGTTCAAATTGTTCAGTAGGTGCATGTCACTTTGAAAATCAAATTAAAATTCCAGATGCTAAGGCACGTGGAGCTGCTGTCTGTTCATGCATTTTACATATCATTGAATACACAGGATAGAGCAGTTTCAGAAAAAGATGGCCTGAGTATAAAACACAAACACATACACAGAGTCAATAATGGACTACAGCACACTGAACCCTATTAAATTTTTTATTGAAAATATTTTTTTCATACAATATATTCTGGTCATAGTTTCTCCTCCCCTATCACCTCCTAGATACACATCCAACTCCATACTTTCCTTCTCTCTCTCTCTCTCTCTCTCTCTCTCTCTCTCTCTCTCTCTCTCTGTCTCTCTCTCTCAAACAGGCAATTTAAAAGAAACAAATAAAAAATAAAATAAACAAAGAATAAAAAACCAAAAATAAATAGCACAAGAAACACACACATCACACACACATCACACACACACAAAAATAAAACCTATAAAACCATAAAATTGGAAACCACAATTGAAAGACCAGCAAGATAAAAAAAAAAAAAAAGCCAACCAAAGTAATAAGAAACAACAATAACAACAAAACCCTACAAAAATATCATTGAGCTTGTTTTGTGTTGGACATCCATGCTGGGCATGGGACCTATACTTAAGTGTGGTTCACATACCTAGTGAGATTCCATCGGAGAAAACAGATTTTTTGCCTTTGCAAGCAGTTGTCAATTGGAGACAGTTTCTTACTTAGGGATGAGAGCTCATGTCCACTCCTCCTCCCACCCACCCAGTGCTGGGACCCTGTACATGCTACCATGGTTTCTGAGTCAATCCTGTTGTGTCTAGAAGACACTGTTTTCTTGGTGTTATCTACCCCCTCTGGCTCTTAAAATCTCTCTACCTCCTCCTCCAAATAATAGCCCGAGGCCTGAAGAGAGGGTCTGATGAAGACACCCATTTACGACGAAGTGTTCCAAAATCTCTTACCCTCTGTACATTGTCTGGGTGTGGGAGTCTGTTATTTTGTCTTTTTTTTTTTTTTTTTTCCAGAGCCGAGGACCGAACCCAGGGCCTTGCACTTGCTAGGCAAGCGCTCTACCACTGAGCTAAATCCCCAGCCCTGGGTCTCTGTATTAGTTCTTATTTACTGCAAGTGGCAGCTTCTCTGATGATGGCTGAGCACTTACCAGTGGGAATGGCAAAATGTCATTAGGAGTCATTCTGTTGCTATGAGCCTTTAGCAGAGCAACCGTTCGGTTTCCCCTAGGCACATGGCCTGTCTAGTCTCAGGTTCTTGGCCATTCGAACAGTGTTAGGCATTGGTTCCATCTCTTGGAATGGGCTTTACATCCAATCAGATAGTGGTTGGTTACTCCCACATTCGTGCCACTATTGTCCGAGTGTACCATGCAAACGGGTCACCGTTGTAGACCACAGGGTTTGTAGCTGGGCTGGAGTACCTTTTTCCTCTGGTGGTGTGAAGAGTGGCTCCCAGTATCACAAACACTAGGCGGGAGAGGTGAGGGCTCTAGTTGGAAACCAGCTCAGCTTCTCCATGTTCAATGAGCTACACAGGTGCTGTCTCCAGCAAGAGGGCTTTACCATGAGTTGTGGCATAGCGTTGGCAATAGCCTGAGTTGTCTCGGGGTTTCCATGAGGCTCCTTTGATCAATAATTCAATTAGCTATGTCCCATTCCTGGCACTGGGCACTGGAAGTTCCCCTTGCTGGTGAAAATATCAAGCTAATCTCATTTGAATTCTGTAATGTCAACTTCTGTTAAACTAAATTTTAAGAGGTTTTCCTTCTGTAAAAAAAATTTTTTGGGGGGGGGGTAGGTCACTGATCATTTGAATAAACATGATAAAAACACCATTCCACTTTAGGATCTTTCTGTTAGGAAATCACATTGTCTTTTGGCGTTAGAGGAGCCCTGCTTCCTTGCTTCCTCTTTCCTTCTATAGCATTATGGGTTGATGTCCATCTGTTCCTCACTGGACCATGTTCCATGCAGAAGACAAAATAAGGAATACGGCACCTCTTGCACATCACTATTCTAAATGTGTTATGCTTCTTTACTAGTTGTATCTATTACCTAGGTTTATACCATTTTGCAGATGAGGCAACAGAACCACAAAAGGCCAATCTGCTATTAGACTTAGGACATGTGCTGGGATTCAGCCTGCCTTAGTTTGGGTTTTTATTGCTGTGAAGAGACAGCTCAACCACGGCTTGCGTAGTTTCAAAGGTTCAGTTCATTATCATCACGATGGGGATGCAAGCAGACATGGTGCTGGAGTAGCTGAGAGTACTACATCTTGCAGGCAACAGGAAGTCGACTGAGACACTAGTCAATATCCTGAGCATAGGAAACCTCAAAGCCCTTCCCCCGCAAAGTGATACACTGCCTCCAACAAGGCCATTGCCACTCCAACAAAGCCATACCTCCAGAATAGTGTCACTCCCTGTGAGAATATGGGGGCCAGTTACATTCAGATCACCACACAGGCCCAAGCTCCACTTTGTACCTTAACTTCTTCTATACTGCATAGACACATTCTATGAATCTCACACGTCAGGGGATGCAGCTCCAAGCTCCAGTTCCTACCTTAACTGCTATACTGCATTGACACATGCTGACTCTTCCACCTCATGACATTTTTAACTCCAGAAAACTCTAATGGGCAGGGACCTTGTCCTCTTCATTTTTCTAATACTCTTCATGCCTAGTGCTATCTAGCCAGAGGGGCCCCCAAATGGCCCCATTCTAGCTCAAGGAAACAAGGCTCACAGGATTTATGTTTTGCTTTTGTTTTAAATTTCTGATTTTCTCTAAGTGATAATCATGGGTTAGTTGAATTGTATGTATATTAGAGGTTCCTAAGACCACCCCAGGTATGCAGACTTGCTAGAATGCTCAGAACTCACCATACAGTTCCTCTTGTTACTGATTTATTAGAGGGAAAGGATCCAAAGCAGAGTTACCAAAGGAAAAAGGCCCATGGGCGAAGTCCAGGGAAACTGGGGGAAAGCTTCCAAGAATCCACGCTGGAGACACAGGCTGAAACTGGGTCTCCAGCAAAGGGCTGTGACCGCTCATGACATGCTGTCCACAAGGAAGCTTGTTAACAGTCAGTGCCAAGGGGTTTTTATGGAACAACTCAGAGGTAGTTCCTGCTCTATGTATAGCAATATTCTGGGCACCTGGGAAGAAAGCAGGGTTCAGCACAAACCAGTGTTTGCAGAGAGTTAATGTAAGCCACAGTGAGCTACCATGATCAGTGCTGGCCATAGTGGGAGCCCCTGAAATCCAAGTTCCTAGACAGCCAAAGGCCAACTCATAACGTATGTCTCTCAGGATGATCTGTCAAGCAGCTGTAACACTTTCCTGCATATGAATTTTATCACCTTTTTCTTCGACGGCTAGAAACACACCGTTTCTTAAACTGTCCTTTGAACCAGGTTTACCATCTCTGACTCTTGGGCTGGAGAGATGGCTCAGTGGTTAAGAGCATTCACTGGCTGTTCTTCCAAAGGACCCGGGTTCAATTCCCAGCACCCACAACGGCAGCTCACAACTATCTGTAGCTCCAGTTCCAGGGGATCTGGCATCCTCACACAGACATACATTCAGGCAAAACACCATCTCTGACTCTTGTTTATAAGTCTTTGACACAGACTCATTTTATGAGTCATGCTTTCAATTTGATAACTTAGACAGACATAACTCATGAAGACTAAAGTCTAGCCAAATTAAAAACTAAAAAACAAACCACAACATCATATAAAGGCTAATATAGATTAATATTAGTATCCCAGTAGTTATTAAAAAGCATGCTTTATACTAGCATTTCCTATGTCCTTACAGACTATACTTCTGCCTAAGGTGGTAATCACCTGACTATTTGCACTTAAGGCAGACTAGTAGAAAGTATTCTCGAAAGCAGAGCTAATACACAAAGATCATTTTTCTCCTGTCTTACCAATCATTATATAAAAAAAATACATCATTAGATGGATACCATTTAAATACAAGGCATGTTTGCAGGAAAATGGGTAGACCTGAGTCTATAAAGTGAAATACTTTAGATATGGAAGTGTGTTTTCTCTCATATGTAGAATGGAGATCTAAATACACATATGATATGGCTGGAGAAAGCAGACTGTGTGCAGAGAAGGGTCTATAGGGGAAGGGGAGCACGAAAGGGTAATGGAGAGAGAGGAAAAGAAGAGTCTCTTACGTTGTCTCTCAGAGACATGACTTGAAGGCAGAAGGGAGACTGAGGAGAGGAAGGGAGTGGGAAGAGCAGAGAAAGTGGGCCAAGGCAGAGCAGTGGGATGTGTATGAGGTACAATGACATGACAGGTGTTAGAAATTGTAATACCCATTCTTTTATATACAAACTAAAAAAATGTAAAAACCGGAAGACTCCCACAAAAATGACAACTCAAAATTCAGAAATACCTTTTGCATCACTATAAAAGTTAACCTTAAAAAATTGAATAGTAATTTTATTTTCAAATATAGCAAGGAATCCTCATTTTTTCAACTTTATTATGCTTCAGACATTTTTTTAGAATCATTCAAATTTAGTGCAATAAACATCTTCCTCTATTTTGTGAATTGCACTTTAAAATCAGAATTTTACAAACTTCCAATATAATGGTACCAAACAAAAACCAAAATATTTAAGCTTTACTGTAGACGGGAAGACAATTAAGAGCTGGAACAGCTAAAGTATGCATATGAAAGGTAAATATCTCTTGAATAAAAAAATAGGTACTATTTTAATGGAAAAAATATCAAAGATAAAAGAAAGGACAAAATTTTCCAAACAGCAGCTAATACTTTTGTCACAATTTGTGTATTTGTGCAAAGACATCATTAAATAAATACTTATTGGCTATTTACAAAATAAAAGTGAGAGGGAAAACCCTAATGTATCTGGGTCTGTGATTTAATACCATTCTTTCAATCTTCTGGATGCGTTAGAGTGTATACCAATCACAATGGGATTCTAGTGAACCATAGTTGAAAGCTTGTCAATCAAGTCATCAATAGTGCAAGTAAGCAGCTGAATATCTGCTTTTTCCTTCATCCTGTGGTCACTGTGCTTCCGGAGGGTGACATCTACATCTAGGCTGACTACTCGGTCAGCAACCAGAAGAGACGTGTGCCAAGGAATTATGTCGTCCTTCATGCCATGGAGCAACCGCACAGGGCAGGTCACAGGAATGGGGCTATGTAACAAGCAGTGGTGTTCCGCTTCTTTAATGAAACTGTATGGAATGCTGTAAAATCCTTCTTTGTTGTATTTAGACGGTAAGGACCAATCCCCTTTCACTTCTATCTCCTTCTGCACCTAGTAGGAAGAATAAAAGCACGAATATAAATAACCCCAGTAGCAGACTTGAAGAGTCTGAGAAAGGCAGTCCTCAAGTGAGGACAGAGGCAACACAGGAGCAACAAGAGTGATCACCAAAAACTGGGCCAGGCGGGGTGCACACCTTTAATCCCAGCACCCTCCAGGCAGAGGCAGGAGGATCTGTCACTTTGAGGCCAGCCTGGTCTACACAACCAGTTCAAGTTCCAGGCCAGCCAGAGCAACATAAGGAGAATCCATCAAAAGAAAGCAAAACTTAATTACTACATGCAAAGCACCTTATACATATTATTTCATGCGATCCTGGTAATAATTCTGTAATTACTCTACTTTTACAAAAGAAAGTATCAAGGTTTACAGTTAAATATCATAGTCAAAGTCTAAAGACAGAAACTGTTTCAGCGAGCAATCACTCAGATTTCCTTATCATACAAGTCCTTATAGCATGTTCTGCTTTACCCCAACTAAAGGGGAAGCTAGGAGGGGAGAAAAGTACAGCAATTTCTGGGAACTGGTCCCAAGACAGTGATGTTTATATAAACCACATCTTAGAATTGTTTTTCAAATTTCAAAACAATCACTCACTTATGTAATGTAGGTGGAAAGAAAGTTTTTCAAGTGCATAGATAGCTTCTACCTCTCAGCATTCTAGGGATGAGGATTTGGGTAACACAGAAGCCTTAGAAATGCTTCTGAAAGCTAAACATCTAGATTCTGATGAAATGAAACATTAACATATCCTTCGAGGATCATTTTTTCAGATTTAATTTATTTGTGTTCAGTAATTTTTCTAATTACAAATTAGAATTTTCTGGCTGGAAGGATGGCTCAGCAGTTAAAAGTTCTTCCAGCTCTTGCACAGGGCCCAGCTGGGTTCCCAGAACCCACATTGGGCACCTTATGGTCTGTAACTCCAGCTCCAGAAATCTGACACCCTCTTTAGGCCTTCGTGGGCACCAAACTAACTGCACATACCTGCACACACATGCACTGGCATGCGTGTGCACACAGAGTTAAGAATGTTTTTCAAAAATTCGAATTTTCTATGCAAGACATAGAAAATACATAAAAGTACATTAAAAATCACTATAATCCTACCTTACGGCTGTATCATTATTATTCTGATTTATTTTCTTTCCATAGTTTTCCATGTGTTTTGTTTTTAAGTTTATAACATAAAACATTATTAATTACATATTTACATAATTTTCTATGTTTTTTACTTATTTTGTACATGTATTTGTTTTTCAAATTTCCATAAAAAGATTTTAAATGCTTATAAATTTCTATTTCCATATTATTGAAAAATCAATGAAACTTTAGAAATCTGAAAAATATATGAATCTGTGTTAGTATCACAAATGCAAAACAAATTTTTAAAGAAAAAATGATAATTATCCTCAAGCAACACTGTACTCCATTACTGTACTCCAGTAATGAAAACTTTGTTCCACCTATGTTAATTACGAACATACTGAGTTATATCAAGTTTCATTTTAAGCATCCCTGATCCCCATTTGTCATCTGTTCTCAAACAGAAGGAATACAGTTCATTTGAAAAACAAAGCTTTTCCAACTAAACTCTAAAAAAGTTTGGCAATAAGAAAGAAAGTATTACCCAGAGAAACTACAGGATACATGCATGAGTCATACTCTAAGAAGAAACTTTACCAAGGCAACGTTTCAGCTGCTTAGATTCCCAATGCCTATGAACTGTGTCTGCGATCCTCTAAGATACAATGTAGACAATGACCCCAGTTCTTTCTAGATAATAATGAGAAAGGCTGCAAACAACAGCCCAGAGCTTTGGGAAGTTCAGAGCTTTCCACTTTGGCTAGAGGTTAATGGGAGGCAGTGCTCCCTGTGTCCCTCTGCTTTCCTCTGGTGCTCTTTAGTTCATGACAGCTTGACAAAAGCTAGTTGGGAAGAGGGTCTCTCAACTGAGAAAATGCCTAATACTGGCCTACGGGCAAGTCTAGGGGGCTTTTTATTGATTAATGCCTGATGTGGGAAGGCCCAGCTCACTGTGGGTGGTGTCAAACGTAAGCAGGTGGTCCTGAACTGTGTACTAAAGCAGGAGGGGCAAACCAAGAGCAAACAAGTAAGAAGTGTGTCTCCATGGCTTTTGCTTCAGTTCCTACCTTCAAGTTCCTGTCCTGACTTCTCCCTCAGTGACAGAGTGTTGTAAGATGCAATAAACCCTCTCTTTCCTCCCAAAGTTGCTTTTGGTCATGGAGTTTTATCACAGCAGTACTAACCCTACCTAAGACACCTTGCATTTCATTTTTCATGTCCACCTAATCTACACACTGAGCAATCTAGTTAAACACATGCAAAAAGAATGTGTACAGATCTTATAATTTACAATAAGCCAAGAAGTGTTTAAGGAACTCCTTTTCAAGCTATAATATCCTTGAGAAAATTTCCTATCATGAAAAGCACTGTATTGGTTGAGTTAAGAGGTGTTGTGGAATAATCTTTTTGTACACTGTGAAGAAATGTCACTTGGATTGGTTTAATAAAAAGCTAAATGGCCAATAGCTAGGCAGGATTTTCAGGGCAGAGACAACGCTGGGAGAAAGGCAGAATCACCAGCAGAGGCAGAGGAAACAGACATGTAAGAAGAGGTAAAAGCCAGAGTCAAGTGGCAACACGTAGATGAATAGAAATGCGTTAATTTAAGTTATAAGAGCTAGTTAGAAACAAGCATAAGCTATCAGCCAAGCTTTCATAATTAATAAGAAGTCTCTATGTTGTTTATTTGGGAGCTGGCTAGCGGGACAGAGAAAGACTAGCAACAAAGGGCAGGAGGCAAAGGGTCAGTTTCAGATTCACAAAGAAGAAATAGGAAAAACCTCAAGCACTGAGGAGCAATGTTTGAGAAAAAAGGAGTGAAAAAAACCCCAGACATCAGAGATGAGTACAAGGAATAGCAACTTAGTAATTTTAGCTGTGACAGAAAATAGACTCTCAGGAGATAAATTTGTATGTGAGAGTGCATCTCAGGGGATATTCCTCAGGAACACTGTCCACTGTTGGTTTACTTTTCAAAAACAAGAACCACTGTGTGTGTTGCTCATGTATGTGCCTATAAGACTGAATGCACACTTACTTGAGGGTGTGGGCACCAGTATGCATGCACATGAAGGCCAGAGAAGAGGGGCAGCAGGGGTGGTCCTCTATCATTCTCCACTCTTAGTCCTTTTGCAGCAAAGGCTCACCTCTGAACTTGATGCTCATGATTTCTCAGGTAGACTAGCGGCAAGCCTTAGGAATCCTCCTGTTTCCTCCTTTTGGAACTGGGCCTACAGATGGCTGTGGGAACACCTGGCTTGTTACATGGGAGCTGGGATCTTAACTCCAGTCCTCACGATAACAGAGCAAATGATCTTAACTGCTGAGCCATTTCTCCAGCCCTCCTATCTTGTTTTTTTAAGTATTTTAAACATTTATTATTTATCTATGTGTGTGTGCATGCCATAATGTGTGTTTAGAGGTCAGGAGTTGATGTTCTCATTCTACCATATGGGCTCTGGGGAGCACACTCAGGCTATCAGGCTTGGCAACAAGCTCCTTCATAGCTCAGCCCTCTTGCCTGTCTCCACCCTGTATTTTGAGGCTGGATCTCTCATTAGCCTGGGATTTGCCCAGTAGGCTATAAAGGCTAGCCAGGAAACTCCAGGAATCTACCTGTCTGCCATATCAGTACTGGGATTACAAGGGCACACTACTATACCTAGCATTATTATTATTATTTTTTTAAATTACATTTGTTTTGTGGGGGAGGGTGAGGATGCACGTGTGTGCCACAGTGCATATGTGGAAGTCAGAAGACTACCTACATGGTTTTCTGGTTTTCTTTCTATCATGTCAGTCCCAGGGACAGAACTCAGATTGCCAGGCTCACTGGCAAGTATTTTTATCTGTTGTGCCATTTTCCCAGCCTATCAGCTTTAAAAGGCAGAACAAAACAAAAAGCATGGGTTTGGGGTTACCTCGGATCCTCGTGCTCACATGACAAGCATTTTAACAACTGACCTATCTCCCCAGCTCCAACAAAGCTATGTCTTAAGAAGCGAGAAGAACGATATGAACTAAGGACAAACTCAGATGCTCTATGGCATCGATCGAAGCATGTTACACACTTTCTTTCTTTTTCTTTTCCTTTTTCTTTTCTTTTTTTTTTTTTTTTTTTGGTTTTTTGAGACAGGGTTTCTCTGTGTAGTTTTGGTGCTTGTCCTGGAACTAGCTCTGTAGACCAAGCTGGCCTCAACTCACAGAGATCCGCCTGACTCTGCCTCCTGAGTGCTGGAATTAAAGGCATGCACTACCACCTCCTGGCTCACACTTTATTTTTATTGTTTACCTCCCTGCTTCTTCCTGAACACTTTCCAAAACTGGTTTTCAGATTCTACTGTGGGGAGGAACTTGCTGAGCACATTTCTGACTCAGGATGAAGTTCAAGGTTGATCACCAGGTCTGGAAACCCATCTTGAAACATTGTTTCCTTTTTAAATTTCTATGTCTTGGGCCTACCAGGAACTTAGTTCCACAGAGAAGGAAACGCAACCAATTGCAATGAAACAAAACAAATGTACAAAAAGGCACAGATGTTACTGTTCCACTATCCTTGCAGATACCTAAACTGCCTGTGTTGGATAGTTTTATTTCAACTTGACACAAGCTAAAGTCATTTGACAGAAGGGAACCTCAATTAAGAAAATGCTTCCCATAAGACAGGGCTGTAGAGAAGCCTATAGGACGTTTTCTTGATTATAGTGATTGATGGCAGAAGGGCATCCTGGGCAGGAGGTCCTGGGTTCTGTAAGAAAGCAGGCTGAACAAGCCATGAGGAGCAAGTCAATAAGCAGCATCCCTAATGGCTTCTGCATCAGCTCCTGCCTCCAGGTTCCTGCCCTGTTTGAGTTCCTGTCCTGTGCAAGTATAAGCCAAATAAACTCTTTCGCCCTCAGCTTAGTTTTGATCATGGTATTTCATCACAGTGATAGAAACGCTAACTAGGACACTGCCCAAACACATATCCCATCAGAGCTTAAGAAAAGTTATCTTCCCAGTTAGTTCTCCAAAGCATTTTGACTGAGAACAAGAGGTTTTTATATATCAAGGTGAGAGATGAAACAACATTCCTGAGGAGGCAGGGAATCACGTGCCCAGGGAAAGAAAGGGCAGGCATTTTCTGTAGAGAAGGACAGAACAGCATGGTGAAGAGAGAAGAGAGGATGACAGAGGTTCCGTAGAGGGTAAGCAGATCTCGGGTAGAGCTTTCTGAGTGCCAGGAGTAGAGAGTAGCAGATATGGAGAAAGAGGATACAGAAGGACGAAGATGAGTCTGAAAGCATAGGAGTTAGTCGTTAGCAGGGCTATGAGCTAGGGAGCTGGAGAGAACTGTAGTTATGGAGACAGGATTTCATCCCAGAGAAATAAAGTAGATGGATATAGAGCTTGATATGTCTAGAGTTATTCCTGCCTTGAATGCCTGGTGGAGCTACAGCTGATTTGATAGAATTTTGTCTTAGAGGAATAAAATTAACAGACATAAGAACATAGTGTATGTAGATTTTTTTTCCCTCAGATCCCACGCCGGACTTAGCTGAGCCCCTGGACCCTGGGAACTCCATAACTTCATTGACGTGGTTCATGTATTTGTCAGGATGTATACAAGCAGCCATGAGAAAAGGAAACCTTAAAACAAGAGACTGCACAAAAGGGCAGCAAAGACAAGATGGGCCGCTGTAATCAGTCAGAGGCAGTGGATGCACAAGGACAGGGAGAATGTTGGGAAGCATTCACTGGGGTTGCCAAATGCAATGTGACTCACCTCAAGAGGAAGTGAACGGAACTGTGTCACCAGGTCATCTGCAGCAGTCGCTATACCAATAAGAGCTACGACCTTTTCAGGCCGTGCAATTGCAGCATGCAGCATGAGCCATCCTCCAAAGCTAGATCCGACCAGTATCTACAAACAAACACACATGGCTTTAAAGAGGATTCTCATACTTGTCTATAAAGAGAATGCTTTAAGAGAAATGTATGGACTTGGCATTTTTTATATCCATGTGGATCCTAGACTCCTAGACTTTTAACACGTAACACAAAGTCAAATTCAACTATAACTTGTTTTTTTCTCTTCTGTTCCTGGCTGTGCTGGAACTAGCTTTGTAATCCAGGCTGGCCTCGAACTCAGAGATCCACCTGCCTCTGCCTCCCAATACAACTTTTGCAAAGCCATTATGTCTATAATACAGAGCTATGGAAACAAACTTTGTTCAATGAGGAGTGCTTACTGTTTATTAGAAAGTAAAAGTAGAACAATTTAAATCAAAATTGTTCATCAACATCAAAATTATCAAAACTGACAAAATATCATCAATTGACATACCTAAAGAAATAAATCAAATATTGCTTGAGTCAAAAATCATTCTACTTAACAAAAAACAGTTACCTGTGGTCCTTCCGCTACATCATCAAGTATAGAAAGTACATCCTTTCTCCATTTCCCCACTGTGCATTCTGCTAAGTTACCATCTGAATTTCCAATTCCTGAGTAGTCAAACCTGGAAGAAGGGAAATATATATTTATAACTAAATGTTTGTATGTGGAAATATGTCCATGCTTGCTTCTTTTATTTTCAAAGCAAAGCAGGACATTCTTCATTACTACAATGCCTAACCTATAGTAAAACATCACTGAACATGTATTTTAGTAAATCCTACTGGCTTAACTTCCAAGTACCTCTCATGTCAATCACTTTCTTACATGTTCCACTGCTACCCTTGGTCCAAGTTACCATCTCAACTAGACTAACGCAGGAGTCTTCTAAGTCTCTTGTTATTTCTGTATTTCATCCTCACAGCCTATTCCCAGAGTAGTCAGAATGATCCTTTCAAATGAAATACCATATCATACATGCTTTGTATATTTACTAAAACTCAAAGCCCTTACCATACTTCCCTACCACTCTGCCCTCATTTATTAGAGATCTCTTTCCCTCCCCAACTAAATTCTCACTTTCATTCTTGAAGTTAAAGGTATGCACCACCCTTATTCCTGCATCGTGAACTTTCACTTCTACGTGGCATACTTCTATTTCCAGATATCCATTAACTACACCTCACCTCATTCAGTCCTTTAGCTCACACACTGGATCTCATGAAGAGCTGGCTGACCATTCACATGCTAAGACTGTACTTCTTTCGCAGCTCTGTACTATTACTGTTTTATTTTCTTCATAGCACTTACGGCTTTTAAGGACTAGAATCAGCTTCATCATGAACTCCTCTTTCTAAATTTTCCTAGGGATCCAAGCTCAAAGTCTGTCTAATCTCTGAATTTTACCTTTCTTTCAAGGTTCCAATTCAATAAATTATGAAGTATCCTATCATATCTACAAATTATCAAAATCCCCAGTCATTCTGAACTACTCCCAATCCTGGCCAACCCCTATGGTGATATTTTATTTGTATTAAAATGTTATTTGTATGTTAATAAATAAAGTTGCCCGGGGGTCAGAGCTATTAGCAAGCCATAGGAAAGCAGGGCAGTGGTAGCTTACGCTTGTAATTCCAGCACTTGGTAGGCAGAGCTGGGTAAGTCTCTGTGTTTACTTGGTCGGGTTTGAACGACTGTGGGACTGGCAGGTGAGAGAGATTTGTCCTGACTGTGGGCCAGGCAGGAAAACTTAAGCTACAAATGGCGTCCAACGTGGTGGCAAGAGTTTCCACCTAAAAACTGAGAAAAAAGATTCTAAAACGGAGCTAAAAGCAGCTTCCTAATTGTCTCTCTCAAATGAGCGGCAGCTGCTGGTTTGAGCTACTTGTGGGTTCTTAGCTTGCGTGCTTGACCTGCCGTATGGCGGCAATGAGGCCTCTGCAAGTGGTACATTAAGCTGCATGGTGGATTTAGCCTTTGCTATTACAAAACAAAAAAAAGAAGTTTCTGGGCTATACACTGCTTGGATAAAAGTATAGACCCACGATAGCTCCCAGAGCTGGCGGTAAAGTACCACGGCCATGGGAAGCTGAGGTGGACGGAGCCAGCAGCCACAGCTGCTGCAGCTTAAAGAAATAGATTCACAATAAGACAGATTCAGATGTAATAGTTTAAAATGTGTGTAAAATATACGTAGGCTTGAAAGAGACAAAAAAGGTGATATATACAGTTATAGAAACAAATACATAGTTTTAAAAAATAAAGTCTTTAAAGAGACAGTAAAATTAATATAAAAAAATAAGCCACGTAAAGATGAGTATTACACAGAGAATCTGGATTGTGTTGTCTTTGGGATTTTTAACTGCAGAAAAACAATTGATTGTAAAAGCTGTTGAGTTATGCCAATATGTATATTTTAAAGATACCTTGACCTCAAAATTTGGATATAAGGATATGTTGCTTTGGAAAAGAGTCCCTGGTTTTGTTTCTACAGAAAGCCAGAGTCTATGGATTTGTTCCAGATTAAGATACATCAGATTTGACCAACCAAGACCCCCTGAAAGGTCTCCGATGACACCATGGCCCAGATGATTCAACATCCAGAATGGTTTGAAGGCAACTGGCTCAGACGATACAGCCTCACGGACTACTCCATGATCCTAAAATTTTGTTTGTATCCCCATAAGATACAGCGCCCCCCTCCAGCAGGAAGTAGTAAGAGAAGCTACGCCCAAATTCCCAAATTGTATGTAATTTTACTTTGTTAAGGTTAAAACCTTCCTTTTTGAAAAAAAAAAGGGGGGGGGAAGTGCTGTGGGATGTTCTGTATGGCAAATGTGTTGCTAATTAGTCAATAAATAAAACACTGATTGGCCATTGGCTAGGCAGTAAGTGTAGGCGGGACAAGGAGGAGAATAAAGCTGGGAAGTGGAAGGCTGAGTCAGAGAGACACTGCCAGCCGCCATGATGAGAAACAGCATGTGAAGGTGCCGGTAAGCCACGAGCCATGTGGCAAGGCATAGATTTATAGAAATGGATTAATTTAAGCTGTAAGAACAGTTAGCAAGAAGCCTGCCACGGCCATACAGTTTGTAAGCAATATAAGTCTCTGTGTTTACTTGGTTGGGTCTGAGTGGCTGTGGGACTGGCAGGTGAGAGAGATTTGTCCTGACTGTGGGCCAGGCAGGAAAACTCTACCTACAAACCCCCTTTACAACTATGAGCTTTTGCATGCTATTCCACCGTGTAGAAAATTCCTCATCGAACTTCTAGTCATTCTTTAATCATATCACTTTATTTGGTGAACTTTCTCATTTAGTACCTGTGCTGGAAAGGCAGAGACAGGTGGATCCCAGGGGCTCTCTGGTCAGCTAGTCTAGCCTACTTGACAAGCTTCAAACCAATGAGAAACCTTGTTTCTCAAAAAGTGGATGACTCCTGAAAACTCACAACCCAGACTGTCTCCTGGCCTCCACATGCAAGCACCCATGCATGCACGGTCATGCTCACACATGATCCTGTACACACACACTGAATTGGGAAGGCTGCTACACTCATCACTATTATAACACTACACAAAAAGAACTTGATTAAAGAACCTGTAGTGAAAGGGCTATGTTTATAAAGCATATTTATATAGTACCCAATATGCAGAAAACTACATTATGCTGGAATTGGCTATAGCTCAGTCTCAAATGAAATTCAAGAACTAGTAAAATGGTGATTTCTATTTTTTTTTTTTTGTTTTTTTTTTGTTTTTTTTTTTTGTTTTTTCGAGACAGGGTTTCTCTGTGTAGCTTTGCGCCTTTCCTGGATCTCGCGCTGTAGACCAGGCTGGCCTCGAACTCACAGAGATCCACCTGGCTCTGCCTCCCGAGTGCTGGGATTAAAGGCGTGCGCCACCACCGCCCGGCGGTGATTTCTATTTTTATGTGTGTTTTGCTGCATGTGTGAATGTGTTCCCATGTGAAGGGGTGCATGTATTTATGTGGTACACGGGCACATGTACACGTTTTTAGGGGCCAGAGGCTGACATCCAATCTCTTCCTTGACCACTCTCCACCTTATACCCTGAGGCAGGATCTCCCACTGACCCTGAGGTTCACTGTTGCAGCTGGTCTGGCTAACCAGCTTGCTTAGGTGACTCCCTTTCTCTGCCTCCCGAATGTTGGGATTACAGGTAGGCTGCTACATCCACCCCACTTTTACATGGGCTGGACTCAGAGATCCCAGCTCTGACCCTCACATACACAGAAAGAACGTTACTCACTGAGACATCTCCCCAGTCCTAAAATGCTGACTTCTTTATTAGATTATTTTTCAGACAAAAAAGCAATGACTAGCAATATTTCTGATCTTTATGCATGTTCTCCTCAGTGGTCTCTCTCCATAGACAGAACTGCCCTTCTACCCACATCTTTATTTTTTTCCAGAGTTCCTTTGTAAAGTCTTGTCCATCCTTTTCCCTTCTCAGTGTCTCTCATCTTATGTAATTTCTCCTCTTTTGAATCACATTCTGTTGAGTACTTCTGCCTAATAATGCCTGTATGTATTTTCACCCCTCGCTTAAGGGCAAGTACAATGTTTTATAATTCTTAATATATTACTCAGCTCTAGTCTTCAAAGCAAGTTAAGTCAAGAGATTTTAAATAGTTCTGAGAATGAAAATAAATAGTTTTGCTGGTCTGACAAAAGGAATTAGACTAAATCCACCTTAATGACATAATTTCTGCAAATATACTAAACAGATAATGCCTAAAAGTTTTATATGTAGCTGTATTTTCTAGAACTATTGAATGAGTATTAGTGAAACTATTCTTAACATTTACATGAATAGATTTTTCAGGTTGTTAGTGCTAGAAAAGAACTCAGAAATTATCTTTAGTCCAGCCTTCTTTTATTGGATGACAAACTTGTGTCTACTGTGTACTACTGACTTGCTGTATCAGTTACTGAAAGAATTCTGTCTTCAATCCTTAGTTCTTCAATTCTACACCAATATTTTTCCCACTAAACTATATTCCCTTCTTATAATTAAAATACCAAAAAATTTGATAAACCTAACAATTTCTGTTACATGAATACATTTCTATTGAAATATCTGAGTGAAAAGGAACAAATATAAAATTAAGTTTTAACTAAATATTACCTATCCTTGTTTACGCTCACACACATTCATATATATGTAAAGGAGAAAGAAAACAGAAATGTAAATTATACAGTATCAGTCTTACAATATTATATTACTTTCAAAAATATTTTGTGAGTTGTGCTAGGGATTGAATCCAGGATTGTGCTAAACACATGCTCTACTGATGAGCTATACTCTCAGCCCTAAATACCTATTTTAGAAAGTAATAAACAGTGATCAAATAAGTCCTATGTCTTCAGTAGAAAACCCATAATCACAAGTGTTCACAAGAAACCCACTGAGTTTACACGTTTTTGCCACACAGGCTACTGTAGCTAAAGAACTTAGTTGCTAGTTACCTTTCTTGCCAATCTAGCCAGCATGGTACAAAGACCTTAAAGACCCTAAACCATAAGATCAAAATCTGTACATCAGTAAAATAAATTCATCTACTAAAATGTTGGCATTTACTTCAGTTGGCTCTATTACAATGCTAAATGCTAATATATTCTCTGAAATGTATTGTTCCTACCTTATATAGCCGTGACCTAGAGATTTGCAAAACTCCTCAATTGCCAGTGCCTTTATACCATTCATATCAGAAAGATAGCCAGGGATGAAGACAATTCCTGGGCTTTTGCCTTTTAGCTTCTTATAAGCCAGACTTGGAAGGTCTGGTCGTTGAAGAAAAGAGAGTGTTACCTTTTGTCTGCAAGCTAAACAAAGCACACAAAGCATGAATTTTAGTTTGAAAATTATTTTTGGAAAATCGCATATATTTTCAAATCTTAACTTTCTTAACTCATTGCATTTGATGGGAAAATCAAAAAAGGCTTCAAGCATGAGATCTTTAGTTTCAAAGTTATATCAAAAAATTTACCTTCTTAGAGCAAGGCCCAATCATACTCTTCCAAAATACACGAGGTAGAAATTTCAGTGAAACAAAGACAAAGACGCATCAAAAAATAACTTCATGTTGGCGCCATGTGATTATCCTAAACAGTAGCAATTAACATTTAGATTTAAATACACCACTTAACCTCTCTCCTGAGATTTCTTTCTACTTTGTTTCAGGAATTTCATGTTTTCTACTTTTGGCCAGATGAGTGGGGAAAAGAAGGGCATGTGTGTTTTGTCTTTCCCTTTCCTCTGCCTTTAGAAAAGTTGTTTCAAAGGGGAACTGGCAAAGTCGCAGACACCTGCAATCCCATGATTTGGGAATCAGAGGTAAAATAATCATGAGCTGGGAAAGTATTTAGCAAGGAAGGAATGATGTCGGAAATACTGAGCTCTTTTTGACCAGGTTACCACCAAACAATCCTCCCCAGAAATATCAAGAAACAGGTAAGAAACCACCATAATTTCCTACCAACTGGATCAAGTATCATTCTTGGAAAAATACTTCTCATACAACTCTGTAAATGTTTACTTCTGTTTGCTGGCTTTTTGTAAGTGGCACACATAGGGTTATTTAAATATAACAGGACAAATTGTAACTCTTTTTTTTTTTTTTTTTTTGGTTTTTCGAGACAGGGTTTCTCTGTGCAGCTTTGCGCCTTTCCTGGGACTCACTTGGTAGCCCAGGCTGGCCTCGAACTCACAGAGATCCGCCTGGCTCTGCCTCCCAAGTGCTGGGATTAAAGGCGTGCGCCACCACCGCCCGGCAATTTCCCCCTATTATAAACAAATCAACATTTAAAAAAATCAAAGCCATATAAATATTTTTGTTTTGGTTTGTTTTTCGAGACCACCAAATAGTGACTGTCACGCTCACTGCTACATTAAAGATACTAGTCCAGGGATGGCCAGTGGGCAGATGTACTGGCAGCACCTGGATCACCACTTTATCAATGGTGTTTCTCATATAAATTTTTTTTTAAAAAATCACATTTTCTTCTTTCCAAAGACAGGCTTGAATACTTTTGAACAGTCATTTTCTAGACCAATAAATCTTTTATTTTACTTTTAAGGTTTTTTAATTACTTACTTAGTGTGTGTATGTACATATTATGCATATATGAGGAACTTAGGACACGGTTCTCTCCCTCCACTTTGTGGGTCTAGGGTGCCAGTCTTGGTGGCAAGTGCCTTTACTAGCTGAGTTATCCTTGCCAGCCTTCATTTAAAAAAAAAAAAAAATATCTAATAGTCTGTGGTTGGTGAAAGTTCCTGGGTCTGTCCCATGTGTGCTGCTAAAATTTTTCCCATTTTAAGTTTGTCTAGTTTATTTAAAAAAAAAAAAAAAAGATTAGAGAGCGTAGTGTGATGGTGCACCCCACTAACCACAGCACTCAAGAGTCACGGGCACGAAGGGTCAGTCTCTTCTGGACAGTGAACTGTAGAAGAGCCAGAGATTATGTAGTGAAACCTTGTTTCACAAACACCAGCACACCACACACACATTCCCAAACACACACCAAGAATTACAAGCTTTAAAAGCGATCACCTTTACCTGTCAACCAGATTCAAAGTTTCACAGTATGAAAATATATGCCAAGTTTAAAACTTGGTGGAAAAAACAGAGCTCTTGGGGATCAGTTTGTGTTGGCCAATAGACTGTGTCAACACCAAGGTTCATTTCCCATTTCCTTAATTAAACACCCAAATAGTCCTTTGATCCCTTTTCAGACACTACCTCCCAACACATGAATTGCATCCTAGGCAGTGACCACTGAATTTATGTTTGTAAGCTATAAAACAACAGACTCAACATTCAATCTATAAATCACCTTTATATAATAAGGATTAGCTGAAAGTCTGATGCATATACGGTGAATGAACACAGGTAAAGAGGTAAAGGAATATTTTACACTCGTTAACGAATTGACGTACTATACTTTGCTGAGATTACATAATACTCACTATTTTTGTGTGCACTGTAAGTTAAACTGATTAGATACTTCACAAAATTTAACCATGCTAATTCATATAGTGACATTACTATTCCAAGTACTAAGTATGCATCTATCTAACAGCTCTTTAGCAAGGTGCGAAAAGCACACCAAGGGTATCATTCAAGGATAACCCATAACTATGTGGTGTGTGTATGGTTAAGTGTCACTATATTTACATATATAAATCATATATTCTATGTATGTAGTCTTATTAATCCAAATTCTAGTTTCCATTGTAAAGCAATTATACTTCAAGAAGGAAAATCAGACATTAGGTCCAAAAGATGGCATCTACATGTACAAAGAACATGCCTCATATTGCATGTCTCCTTAAGTCAACCACGGGCAGGACTAGGGATTTAACAAAGTTAACGATATGGAAAGCGCTAGAAGCCGCTAATAACCAAATACATGACATGCACATCTGAGTTGTTTTTTTTTTTGTTTTTTTTCTTCTGGTCTTGGCGTTTGATTCAGAGGACGCAGAAGCTCCTTCACCCGCTGCCAAGGACCTCCACGATCGCCCCAGGGCCGCGGCAGAGAGTAGTCTCTCCCAGCCTTCCAGAGCCACAGAGCAGTTTTGAATGCGGCGCCAAGCCGGCTCTCGGCGGGCACCGGACGAACGCCGGGCGTTCGAAGCAGCCCGAGTCCCCGCCCTCCGCTCACTGACCTGGGAGCCACCAAGCCCGCGGGGGCTTCCGAGCTAGCGACGCGCTCGGGCCTCGGTGCCGGCCGAAGGACACAGCCGCCCAGCCCCACCTCCGACAAGGGACCCGGGCCGCCATCTTCCCAGCTGCCCTTGCGCCCGCTACAGCCTTGCGCGGGTCCCGGGGGGGGGGGGGGGGGGGGGGGGTCCCGAGGTCACGCACGCGCAGTCCGCAGGAAGGCGGAGGTTGCTAAACTGCGTCACGTGGGAGAGACGCATGCGCAGGGCGGGGTCTGGCGTGCCCCTTTCGCTGTTAGGTTGATCTGTCTCCCCCAAAGGGCGTTTGGCTTGTGACATTGGGGCGGCCTTGGCCGGCTTTCTGAATTCACAGTAAGCTGTGGGAATCCCGGCGAGGAGCCAGCGTCAAATTGAACGTTCATACAAGGGAAACCATGTTACCATCCGGAGGAGCCAAAGACCCGTGATAAAAATTGCTAGGCTTCTTGCATTACCAGTCCCCAAGGCTCCGTTTCAGCCTCTGCGGGAAAGGTTTCCAAGAGGCGACCTAAATCTTAAATTCACATCACTGGAGTAGCATCAAGCATTTTTTGCTCGCCCCCAAACAAACATTTTCCCACTCACCAGATTGCGAAAAAATTCAAATGAGCAGCCACAAGCAAAGACACTGGAAACACATATGGCTGCTAGGTTAGTGACAATCTAAAGTCTTTTGTCAGGCAATCTGGTCATGTTTATTACAATACGCATCATTTTCAGTACTCTTTGAACTACCGCTCCCCTTTTGACTATCCTAAATAAAAAGAACACAAGTTCATAAGGTCGTGCATCAACTATGACAACACCATGTTTTTTAAAGATGAAAAACAAGTGGGTATTAATCAATGGCAATAGAAAAACAATTGAACGAATTGTGTACTAGGATCTCTGGATTCTGACATCCTTCAAAGTAATTGGGGGCGGGGAGGGCTCAAGTATCAGTATGTGCCTCATCTTGTGTATCCCGAAATTGTACTCAGTGTAATACTTTAAGTAAAATCATGTTACTATTTGTCTTGGTTGGTTTTGTCAGCTTTGAGCATCTGGGAAGAGGGAATCTTAACGGACAAATGCCCACATCCATCAGATTGACCTGTAGGCATGTCTGTCAGGGCATTTTCTTAATTGCTGACTGATGTAGGTGGGCCTAGCCCACTGTGAGCAATAACATCCCCTGGTAGGTGGGTCTGGGCTGTATAAGAAAGGTAGCTGAATATGAGCCTGGAAGCAAGCTAGAAAGCAATATTCTTTGGTGGTCTCTGCTTCATGCCTCTGCTGTGAATTCCTGCCTTGGTATTCCTCAGTCGTGAACATTGACCTGTAAGCTAAATAAACATTTCTCTCCCTTAAGTTGCCTTTGGTCATGCCACTTATCACAACGACAGAAGCAAACTTGGACATGATCCCTTTAGAGATTTGGGAGCAGTTATTGGTACCAGAGTTAAAAGCAAATCCAGGCATATCTTTGGAGTCTTCAGAACATGATCCATTAGAACACACTGGAGAAACTTGATAAAGACGAAATAGATATTTTTTAAAAATCATTTTGGTTTTGCTTCACTTCTCTATGTCCCATTCCTAAATTAAGTAATTAAAGTTGTCTTTGCTGGAAAATAGGAGAAAACATGAAGGAAAAGATCATAGCTGTATTTTCCCTTTTCAGGTTGTAGGAACTCCTGGTGACTGTGAGCAGCATTGAAACATGAAGTAGCCAGGTACCCACCTGGATATGCTAAAAGGAGACTCACCACAAATCCCACGGAATCGGAATGAAAGCTCTTCTGTTTCCACCTGTCAGATAGTGTCAATAAAACTTTGTTTTCCCGTCACTATCTCTCAAGGCATTGATAGGATCTGTGGCCAGGAGCAAAACTGGAGCTTTCACAGACCCATTTTGCCAGTTCGGATATAGGACAGTTTGGATATAGGACCAGGACAGATGTAGACACCAAAGGACTGAATCCCAAAGGTAACGATGTCCACTGCATTCTACCTCACTCTTGTATCTTAACAGCAGAAACTTATCCTTGATATTTTTAACCCCCATGCCTTCTTCCACTTTAGTTTTTAATTTCTCCTTGTACTTTATATGTAGCGGAATTTTAAAAATCATGTGACTTATCCTAATGAAGAAAGTATTGTGTATATACATAGAAAAGGGGGAACCCATGGATTACTTTCTCAATCCATTCTTACCAGCAAAACAAATCAGGAACCTAAGTGGCTTTGTGGCACTGTCAAAATACTTTCCCTGACAGTAACAAGCTTGAAGTAAAACAGTTTGTTTACTCTAAAGGCTTTTGGGGTCATCTTTCTTTCATCAGCATACAAAAGTAAAGGGCATTTTTTTTTAAGGCAGCTTCTCTCCTTGACATCCAGAAGAAAGAGGTCCCCAAGTGAAACTTCAGAGCTTTCCTTCACGTTTGCATTATACCTTTTAGGGTAGTAATAACTAATCAATACAAAAAGATAAGAATAATATGTAAGATTTTTTTTCAGCATTTACCACATTTTATCAGTAATAGGAATGTGGCCAGAGATGCTTCCAATTAGTTTATGAATTTCTAATCATAATGTCAGCACATATCAACCTTTATGTGGATTCTACCATTAACTTTTGCTGACTAACTCATCCTCTGTTATGTTAAAAATAGGTGATTGTAAAGTGAGAGACAGAGTTTACTTTCAATTGTGAAATCAGGTCGACACTTTAATCCAAACTCAATACATTTAACACACACATATCTAAAAGGTTCAGACATGCAAATTGATTTGAACACCCTTACAATCCTATGGAGAAAGTACAGTACAGACAAGTTGGATCTTTACATTAACCAACCAAATCTTAGCATTTGCATTTTAATGTTTTAGCTCACTAGAGTTGAAGGGGGAAGGCTGCAAAAATCACAGATGAAAAATGCCTCCTACAGTCATGATATTTGTCCCTTGTTATTCAAGTAAAACCTTGCATCATCCAGTTGCACAATCTTATTATTGGTAACATGTATACAGGTACATAAAAAAGTACACTGTAAGTTTAAAAACAAATTGTACCCCATCAGGCCTGACAAAACTTCATGGATATTTCTAATCATTTCACATATACGAGTAAGTCATGTCATTATTTTCTACTTCTATCCATTTGGCATGTTTTAGGAAAGAGTTCATACTTAAAAACACAAAATACAAAAGCTAAAATAAATGGCACTTGGAAAACAATTATAAAAGAGACTTGCCCGAAGTCATTTCATTCAACAAAAAATTAGCTCTAAAAACAAGGCTATTTGTAAAGATATATGCAAAAAGATATAGCATGGAGAACGTTAATTTGAATTTTGGTTGTCTTTTTTCAGTGAGACAGAGATGGTTTCATACTTATGCCATGTGAGGGTGCAGTTAACAGCTTTGCCCCATAAGCAAGAGGAACTAGGCAGTCTAAAGAAAAATGGCCACTTGGTTGCTTTTATTCTCAGCACCAGGAATGAACACATCTTCAATGGAACAGGCTCTTCCCACTGAGTATTCTCCTTAATTAAAACTGCTGATGTTGTGGGTTTCTGTTGTCTGAGATGGTCTTTTCGCAAAACAAGGAGCTTTTTTTTTTTTTAAATTCTTTTAAGAAAGTGGTTTAAAATATATGCACAGTAGCTTCTGGGGGGGGACACTACAGAGTTGGCATCAAAATACCGTTTTAAAGAGTATTTAGGGAGTAACACTGATTTAAACAGGAGTCACACCATGTCTTTGGTTTTGGTGCAATATTTAAAAATTAAGGCGAAATGTCTAAAATCTGTTGCCTTCTAACTTATTTGTTTATTCTTATAAAATGCTACTTCCTGCAAAGAAGGCAGTTGATTACCAATGGCAATGATTGGGGTTCTAAAGTAATCTCACATTTCTAAGTACATATTTACAGACATTGTGTAAACTGTTCAGTTTATTTAACCAACATCCACTGATAAAAAGTTTATGAGAAATGCGCATCTAAATGATGCTTTTATCAAAAAATAGTGTTTTTGTTGTTTTTTATTTTTGTCAAAGGAGCTCCAGTTCTTTCGCTAAGAGCCCTGTTTTCTTTTTTTATGGAAGGCTCCCCAGTATGAAAAGAGTTCCGAGTGTACACAGCTAAAGGGATGGTCTGCTAGGCCTTTCCATCTGAGACTAGATATGGCTTCATTCTTGCAAGAGACTATTGCAGTCTGCCCCGCAGTGGACCATTGGTGAAGTTCATTACAACAGGAAGTGAGTATATCCTTCCGCACCAGTCACTATAACGTCCATCCAGATCCGCATGGCCTCTGGTGATGGCGCCACCATGTAATAGATTCTGTCGTGTGTCTTCACGCTAAAGGTGAGTAATGGGTTAGGACTCTGGAATTCCAAACAAGAAAAGAATGTCAAAGAAAGACTTGGAAAGTTGAACATTAGCAAAGGCATGTGAAGGTTCTTCTGCTTTAAAAGTCGACCTTGACCGGAATTTATAAAGGCGTTTTATGCTACACTACAATGTCCCCCTCCCCCCCTTCCACCTTCCTCAGGATGGGCCATCTGTCTGGCCTTTCTATAAGAAATCTCATGCAAGGCTCACTGATTCACTAACTAGTTGGTAAAACATGGTATCTAGCTGACAGGAGATGTTCAGTGAATAATAGTGGTTATTCCTGGCCTTTTAAAGGTCCTAATAAGTTACAATTCACCTTCCTAACTATATAGTAAGTAGTTCCTTCCAAAAATGCCTGCAGAGTGGCTTGTCGGTATCTCCCAAGTTGTTGCATCCAGAATCTCACCTTATTTCGCCATGATTTTATCCCTAAAAAACAATCATTTACCCGATGTATTTTCAGTTTTAACTTACAGCCGTGTTCTGAACACATCTGTCCAAAGCGTGAGAATACCACCGCTAAAGCACTTAAAATCCTCAAATAACCTAACTTAATTACATATTCAAATGGCAGAAATCCTCCAGGCTTAGTTGCACATGCTTGTAACCCCAGCTAACTCAGGAGGCTGAGGCAGGAGCATTACAAGTTCAAAGCCAGTCCAGGCAACATAGTGAGACCCTGTCTCAAAAACAGAAAAGAGGCTGAGGATAAAGCAGTTGCCTGGAGTACAAAGGGCCCTA